GAATGAAGTGGATGAAGCATTAGGAGCAACTGAAGCTATTAAGAGTGCAAATAGACCGAGGAGAAGTGCATATATAGTTTATACACGTGCAAGTAGAAGTGAAGGTAGAGGTGGTCGTGGAAGAAATGATGGTAGGGGACAAGACAAAGGAAAGAGTATTGTTGCAAGAAGAAGAAGATAAAGACTCAATTTGGGATAGAAACATTGAGGATAATGAAGATGAAGTCGTAGAACTTGATGAGGAAGATGAAGACGATGAGGATGCGGATGATGTTGATTGTGCTATGATGACGTTGGTGGATTTAGTGGAGGGGTTGTGGGCTCTTATTACCTAAATACTAAAATTAGTTAGATATTTTTCTTTATTGATCATCTATAAATTTCATGTTTTGTTATCCCTAATCCTTTTGTGGAGATTCTAGAGAATTGGATAACTGTCATATTTATTTTTTGTTATGGTTTTTTTCATTGCTTGATTTGGTTCCTACTTCCTTTAAATGCCTATAATAGATAAATTTCAATCAAGGTATGTCATATGTGTTTGATTTGATTCCTAGTTTTCTACATAATTGATGATTCATTTTATTCTTTGTTCATTTTCTGTAAATTTACAATGCTTTTTATTTAATTTGTTATTGATTTTGTGTGTGTGTTAAAGGAAAAGTGAGAAAAGAGAGAGCACTAAAAAAGGACAATGCTCAACATTCACTTCAAACTCAAAGGTATGTCTTTGACTATTTGTGAATTTAAAAAATATTTTTAGTATTTATTAGTTTAGTTTTTTAGTGCAGTTGCCTAGTTGGTTTAAATTCCTTTTTATTAATAATGTTTTATATTTTTAGCTTTTTATATGAAATTTGTACTCATTTGAATGATTTATAGTATTAATAGTTAGTGTACTTGCTTGCTAGTCAGCACACAAAACCAATAAAATAGCTTAGAAAAGCATAGGTAAAGTAAAAACTCAAGAAAACTAACATTTTAAAATTCCAACGCCTAGGCGTCTGGGTGCCCTGTGGTCGCCTAGCCTCACCTTGGCGCCTTGAAAACTATGGTCTGCGAATTGTCTTCGTGTCTATATTGAACTTGCAGTTAGCCCGGAGTACCACATTCGACTTGTGCCTCAAAAAGTGTTTGGGAAGGCTATGCATGGGCTTGCTTTTGAGGCCCCATGTAGCTGCATCAAGGCTTGAAAACTCTCGACATGGTCCACTAGGTCACTAGTGTCGTCGTACGACTCAAGGCTAGGGGCATTGAAGTCCTTGGGCTTAGGAGCCGCAAGGATCTTGGCCGACAGCGGTGAAGTGCGAGAGACATATGTGGCGGATGACGCGGTGGTCCATTTGACTTCTTCCTTCTTTGTTTCTTCCTCATCTTTTGGGGCGAAGCGGATTTTTTGGTCGCATCAAGTGCATCTGTTGTGTCTCCTTCAAAACCCCTAAATAGATCTGATGTTGGTGGGCCCAACCTAAGAGGTGGCCTAGCTAGTTTCTTCACTTGGGACATAGGTGGAGCCCTAGGCTTCCGAGGTGCGGGTCCTCTCCAGGTCAGCAGTCCCAAGTGTTTGATTCTAATTCTAATTCTAATTCTGGTGAGGAAAGTTCTATGAGCATAGGGGACCCGACACCTGGTTCTGATTCTGGTCGTTGGGCTGTTGATTTAGAACGATTGTGAGTTGGGGAACCTGACCGAAAACATGTGACTGTGGCATTTATGGTATCTACAGGCTGGGCATGTATTGGTGTTGCATCCATGTCGTTGCAACGAGACGACCTTCCTAGCTTTGCATCGACAAGTCAATGCCATGGATGTACTGTGCCAGCTATTGAAACTGTTGGCCGTATACCCCAATGGGAATCCCTGAGGGAGGCTCTGTCCCGACAACACTGAGATGGTGGGTAGTGTCAGGGGGATGGAGATCTGCCATATTTGGATGTTTTGCGCTATTGCATTCTGGACAAGTTGGCTCTGCCCCCCACTCGTGGTGCCTTCGACCTGGACGTTGTTGACATTATTGTTGCTTGATGAAGTCATTGCTTAAGTTAGAGAATTTGTGATAACTTAGCTTTTATGTAGTGTTTCCCACAAACACTGCCAATTGATGGAGTGTGATATGGTGCTCTCTACTGGAGGACAACTTGGATGTCGGACTGACTAGGTTGATTGGCTGAGCTACAAGAAGACAATCAGAGTATCAGGGGTGCTTTACTTGCGATGGGCACTCCGATGCTTAAGTTAGTGATGAGTGTTTTGAGAGTTAGAAAGTGAGAAAGCAAGAGAGCTATGAGAGCTAAATCGCACGTACCCTCTTTGGTTGAAGGGAGCGCCTTTATATAGGCACAAATAGTTGTGAGCTTCGCGTAGCACATCCAATGTATCCGGGAGGATGTGGCTTATCAGCCCGCCATGCTCGGAAGTGGTTTCACGTTTGGAGATGGCTTTTGCGTAAAGTGATAAAACTTATTTGGTTACCTCCAAAGTGGGTAGCGCAAAAGCCAACTCCATTGGTGAGGCAACGTGATCCCAAAGGACTTGGAGATTATAATTTGCACATAATAGAGGCCAGTCACCATATCACATAGGTCACCAACTAGACTTCAGTCAGGTCGGTGGGGCCTCAATAGGAGGTCACCCTTCGTGCCGAGGTCTTTGGCTCGATCCAGAGGTGGCCAATCGATCATGCTAATGTGCCTATAGTTTAGCCTTGCCAAAGTGATGATGAAGCACTCTTAAGGTATGCAAGGTGCATCCGATGTGGTTCCACGGTGATCTCTATCATTTCGGCTAATGTAAGTTATTGCCTACATTGCACCGAGGTGTTATGAAACGGTTTGGAAGTGCCACATGGTGTAATATCAGTGAAGGGCCAAATTACCCCTCATCAAATAGTATTGTATTTTATCACATGGTTTACTATAAAATCTTGGATAAATATGGTACTTAAAAAAGGAAAATTATTTGAGTGGCATTTTCTGTCATGAAATATGTTTAAAAATAGGTAATTGTACACTTTTTTTTCGAAAGTATAGGGGAGGTTCATACGATTGGCAATGAAACCTAAGAGTAGGGATGGCACTAGGGTAGGTTTGGGGAGGGTTTTGTAAATTCTAGACCCTACTTGCCTCTCTAAACTCCCAATTTGTACCTACCTCAAAACCTGTTGTGGATCGGATTTTGAGAATCCAAACCCTCCCCCACCATACCCTTTCGCATTCAAGGGTATGGTGGGTTAGGTATATAACCTACATCTTATTTCCTATTATTTATTGTTATATATAAGTAACAATTAAGTAAAATAACATGAGAAACACATCAAAATTTCCTATTATTTAATTAAGGCATGTAGAAAAAATATAAAATGTTAATCATCCTTCACAAAAATTAAAAATATTATTAAATTCAACACCTAATAGATAAAGTTTATACGCTTTCCAACAATATGCGGGTTGGGAGGGTTGGGTTTAGTTCAACATCGTGGCTCACTCGTACTCATATGGGTTGTAGAATCTTAAAACTTGTTCATGGCCCAAAATATGTATTTCGAGTAGGGGTGGCTACGAGCCAAGCTCTTCACGAGCTACTCGAGTTCGAGCCCAATTTACAGGCTCGATTAATAAAAGAGCCGAGTTCGAGCCTAATAGAGCTCGACTCTTGAGGCTCGTGAGCCAAGCTCAAATATATATATATATATATATATATAATAAAAATATTATAATTTTTAATTTTTTTAATATTAAATAAAAAATATTTTTTATATATAATTTTTTATCTTTATAAAACCTTTTCCCTCAAGTCAAGCTCGAGCCAAGCTGAACTCGAGCTTATGAATTTTTGACTCGAGCCGAGCTTGAACTCAATGTTCTAGCTCGAATTGAGCTCAAGTCTTGTACAACCTTGGCGAGCCGAGCTTAAGCCTCGTACTATTTGGCTCGGCTTGGCTCGAACCCACCCCTACTTTTGAGCATAAAACTAGACCTGACAATTGGGTTGGGTGGGTTGGGTCAAAGTACTTTGGGTTGATTTTGGGTCGGGTTGTCAAATGCTAGACCCTAACCCTAAATGTTCGGGTTAGGGTTGACCCATGGGTCAATTTGGGTCATCCCAAAAAATAATTGAAATTAAAAAAAATAAAAAAAAATTAAATGAAAAATGTCAAAATTAAAAGAATTATCCTCAAAATTACAAATATAAAATAAAAAACTTGAACATTTAACAATTTAAAGACTAAATTGAAAAAATTAAAGAGTGGAAATTTCTAACATAAATAACCCCAATTAGACTTGACAATTGGGTCAGCGAGTTAACCCATGACCCAAACCCAACCCAAATTTTATGGGTTGGGTCGAGTCGGGTCATTTTCACATTCGGGTAACTAAATATGAGACCCTAACCCTGTTTTTCAGGTTGGGTTGGGTCGGGTTTGCGGGTTGGATCAACTTTTTGCCAAGTCTACATAAAACCCACCAATTGACGTGGATAGGGGCAAGTAATCATCAGGTAAAGTAGAAATTGCCATTTTACCAAAGAGAGGTTTTTATGGCTGTTTTACCCGACTAATGAAACTGTTCAAACCATTATTTGACCAAGATTCTAAGCTCAGTTTTAGTAAAACCTTAAAAAAAGAAGCAAAAACCATCCAATCCAGACGGTTGAATCGTGACCCGAAGGTAAAAAATGGTTTGGCCTCGGGGTCGGTTTTTAGTTAAAACATTGAATTTTATAATTTATCCAAAACTTAAAAAAAGAAGCAAATGCCATCCAATCCAGACGGTTGAATCGTGACCCGAAGGTAAAAAATGGTTTGGCCTCGGGGTCGGTTTTTAGTTAAAACATTGAATTTTATAATTTATCCAAAACTTAAAAAAATAAAAACTTGGGGGTGTGCTTAACGTTGTTTGTAGTAGCTCTAGAAGCCGAGGGTGGAGCCGACTCGAGAGGACTGCAGGAGATATTAGTGGGCAGTGGGCACATCAAACACACGAGTGGTAATTAGTACAAAAATAGGAGGAAATTATAGAGATTCGCCAATTCCTATATATTTCTCGGTATTTCTATCGGAGGGCGGGGAAAGTGCACAGAAAAGAAGGGAGAGAGAGAGAGTGGGAGAGTGCGTAGAAATCCGAGGGTTCTCTCCGACGTTAATGGCGGTTAGGGTTTTCTGTTGATCTTTAGAACTCAAATCTCCCGCCACTCCCCTCTTTCGTTCTTCCTAAAGCCCTATTCAGTTTCCTCCTTGCAATCGTTATATTCAATTTGGTAAATAATTTCTTGTAAATTTATCTGAGGAAAGAGAAAGATTATTCATGGGCGCGCAAGGAAAAAACTCGGCTGTTGCTAATTCGATGCAAGTAAGTCATTTTCAGCGATTATTGAAGCTTAAAGTTACTCATTTTATGGATTTTGATGTTGCCCTAGAATTAAAGTCAATTGCGCTCTGTTAATCGTTATCATCCTTCTATTCAAAACATGAACTCACCAATAAAAAAATCAAAGAATGAACTCGATTTTAGCAAGAAAAAATGTACTTTATTGGAATTGCCTCTCTTTCAATTTGTTTTTGATTTTAGATGTTCCTTTTTCCTTGTTTTTAATTCGAGCGGAAATGCAAATTTTATTTGATATTGATATTTTTCAGGAGTTTCTTCTTTCCGTTTTGGTCTTCCTAGTTCGTTCTGAATTATCCGATCTAGTAGTTTGCAGCCGAGTTTTTGGTTAAACTCGTTGATTGGAGTCATTAATTAGTTGAATGATCACTTCACTTCTGACGCATAAAGAGAACATCTTATCCTCCGTTTACCAATACTAGTAGAAAACTATACTTGTCAACCCATATTGAAGTTGACTTATTTGGACTCCATCATCAATTGGACACTTGAGCTTACATCATACCTAATTATTTTTCCTCTGTCCTAGAAGCAATAATGGATGTTGGATGTCTTTGTAGTTTGTACCAAGTAAGCACTGTGATTACTGCATTATTAACCTGGATGTTACTTGACTCAGAGCATAAAGTATGTCTTGGTTTATAGAAACTGTGACTGTTGACATAATTTTCATCTGATACAAGATGCAGTGTTTGACACCAATAGTGTGTTTCAATGTGTAAATAAAATCTACCTCGGCCCAATCTAAACCTGTTCCTACAATAGGCCTATTCATGGGCTGGGCTCAGGCTTAGCTTTTGCCAAAATTTGATTGGGCCCGGCCCCAAGCCTGTGCCTGAAGCAATGTAAAATATTAATGGGCCAAGGTTGAAGCCTGGCCCATGAATGGGTCTACCTACAAGTTTAAACCGACATGTGTGTTGATTGAACCCTAACAAATAAGAAACTAATAAAAGGAAACTAATATATAAACCCACATAAAGAATAATTTATTAATAATATTTATTTATTAATATAATATAAAGAACATAAAACAAACATTCATTTGCAATTATAATTTGATCAATTGTATGTCTCCCTTGTACAAATGCTCCTTGGTATTAAGAGATCATCATGGGCATCACCTTCCTTATTATCATAGACAACACTGTGTCAATAACCTTTTACATACTCCCCACCAAATTTATGGGCCTAAACTCCTTCGTGATTCTGTCATCACGAAGGCATTTACATCTAGATTGAGGCTGCATCAACTTAAACTCCTTCCGCTCGGCTTGAGGCTAAAGTGCAAAAGAACTTCGTGATTCTGTCATCATCTTGAAGGCACTTACATCTAGATTTCTGTCTCCAACAAATTTTCTCAGCCTTTTATATGGCTTCAATTCTTTCTTTGGTTTTTGTCTTTCTTCTCTATGTGCCTCTTGCAACTCTCTCTGATTTTTCTTGCCATCTAACTCCTCAGTTTTTTGACGTGTCCTTTTTTTGATCAACACACTCCTCTTCCCTCTTACCATTCATTTTTCCAACTTGACAAACTTTGAGTGACCCGACCACATCTCTCAGCTCTCTTTCCAATCCACAGTGAAAAAAATCTATCCAGCTTTAAGCATATTCGGTTGAATTGGAAATTTGACCAAGTAAACTTGGTTTGCATTAAAGGAATCTCTTTTAATCCGAGCAAGTCCACCACTTCATTAGATTTTCTCATTCTAGATGTAAATCTTTGATTGGGGTTTAATGGTTTCTGGCGAGGACTGAATTACATTAAAATCCATCCCCGTCTCCCAATACACAAAGGTCCTATCTCTATATTTTGTTGGTCCATACACAATTGTCAGTACCCACTCAAAACCCATCCTCCAACCTTCTCGGTTTCATCGAAATTGTGAATTGTCCAATCAACTCCTCTATGCAATCGAATTGTTCATTCCTCCATGCTGCATACTGTAATAATACCTCCTAAACCTCCCCAAGAGGGGGCATAAGCCTAGCTTAGACCTCTCTCTGCAAAACAACTTCTAATCCATTTCCTGTCCATCACAATTAACTTAGACTCAACTCCGTTTTTAAAATAATTCTGGCTTCTCCCTTATATTCTTAATTACTCCACTCTTCTTGGCACCCCTAAAACACCACAAATTTCAGTTTATAATCTGCATTGCAACTAGCTAGATTCTAGAATCCCCTTGACTAGCCCCCCTCCATTATCTTCTCCGAATCCTCTTTTTTATTTTTTATTTTATTGCTTCCTCTTCCTTCACCATCATAGTCAACCTTGCATTTGAGCCTCTCCATTTCACTCTTCTCTTTCATTTCTTCCCCCCTGACTACAACTGATTTCTTTTTACAGCTAGTCTTGCCAAAGCATCTGCCAAATTATTTGCTGACCTTCTAGTCCATTGCAACTAGCTAGATTCTAGAATCCCCTTGACTAGCCCCCCTCCATTATCTTCCCCGAATCCTCTTTGTTTTTTGTTTTTGCTTTTGTTTTTGTTTTTGCTTCCTCTTCCTTCACCATCATAGTCAACCTCGTATTTGAGCCTCTCCATTTAACTCTTCTCTTTCATTTCTTCCCCCCCCCTGACTACAATTGATTTCTTTTTACAGCTAGTCTTGCCAAAGCATCTACCAAATTATTTGCTGACCTTCTAGTCCCTGTAAATGAAGTTCTTAATTCTCTAGCCACATTTCCTGCTTATGTTTGTACTGCCACATGCCTTGCATGTTAGTATTTGAGCTATTCAATTATACCACCTTTGAGTCCCTTCAATGACAACTCCTCTGTAGTTTAAGGATTTGCCCAATCTGAGCCCTTGAAGTACTACTAGTTCAACTTTAGTTGAGTCATCTTGTCAATGGGCTTTGAGTAGATGGGTATGATATTGCTGTTGTTCATTTTGAAAACACCACCACTGCCTCAACTTCTTAGGTTTTCCATGTTACATTTATCAAGATTAATTTTATAACATTTGGCGTGGAGGATGCTGCATTCTTGTAGCAATGCTCGTTGTAGAAGATGATGAATGCTATCCATCGTAGGGCTGCAACATGGGCAGTCTCGAGTTGAGCATTTGCTAAAATTTGAATGGGCCTTTTCTGGGCCCAATGTTGTGTAAATTCATCAAGTCAGGTACCCAACTTGTACCCCAACCCGTTGCCAACCTTTAGAAATGTCATTCAAGGAGAATGGGTTGAAGAGGCTTAGATATATCACCCAGTGAACTTTCTTCACAAAATAGCGATATTTCCAGCATTATTTGTATCTGCAAGTAATAAAAATGCATTGGTATCTTAGTGCTTTGGATCTCAGAATGGACAGGTGGTTTGGAATCCCAAGATGAGGAGGAATTTAAACGATTGGAAAATAGATAGGATGCAGAATTACTACTGGAGGTTCACAAGGAGAAACCTTTTTTCAATCAATATGATACCATTTGCAGTTTGTTGGGAAGTGTGGAAAGAAAGGAATGGGCAGATATTTGATGGGAAACAGAAGTCTAAGGAGAATATGTGCGCGATTATTGGTGCAAAGCTATTTGATTGGGTTCTGTTCCGTCCAGATTTTCAAGGAATCAAAAGAGAAGAGTTTAGAGCTTATTTTGGGGAACTTTAGAGCTGTAGTAATAGTTGTTTCCTGTAGCTGTTTGTTGCTTTGCTTGTAGTTCGTGATTCCTCATCTCTTTTATCTAGGTAAACATTTTCTTATTTTAATAAAATTTTATTTTTTATTGATCTGCAGCAAAAAAAAAAAAAAAACAACAACGTGATTTAGAAAGATTGAGGTGTGGGAATGACTGGGTTATTTACTTCTAAGTCCTTCAAGAGTTTAAATCATGTAGTCCTGCATAGCTTTGCTAGTACAAAAGTGGTTAACTAGTAATATGAGAATTGAGGTTAAATGGGTAAGCAGGTCGGCTAATACTATGGCTGATTCTTTGGCCAAACAGGGGGTTTCCAGGGAAGGTCTTTTTTGTGCTACATTGTAACTTGTTCTGGTAAATTGGAAAGCTGTACTTAATTAGGTTGGAGAGGTTGCATCTCGTGTCTCTCCTTGCAGACCTTGTACTATTTATCTTTGCTGATTAATAAATTTCATTCAATTATTAAAAATATTCCTTTGAAGGTAGTTTTTGTAGTGTGTTGGGCACACTAGGGAAGTGCTTGACAAGGGAGAGCTTAAGTAGGAGAGGGATGGTGCTGGAGTCAGTGAAATGTGCCATGCACTCATCTGAAACAGAGACAGCAGATCATTTGTTTATCCTTTGCAATATGGAAAAATATGAGTTAAGTCCTTGGGACTTTTTGGAGTAAAAGGATGCATGCCAGACACACTGGAAATTCTTCTTTCATAGCTGGAATTTGAAAGGGTTGAGCAGAAGAGGAAAGGCCATATGGTAAAGTATACATGCTGATACTTTCTGGAAGGAATGCCTATATATTAAAAAATGCATCATGCACATGAGATAATTGTGAAGAAGGTAGTGAGCACCCTTATCTCTTGGTTGTTGGAACAACAGAGCTTTACAAGGAGTATCATTCAATACTCTTTTTTTGACTATGAGAATTTGTTTGTATCACAATTGGTAATATACAGAGCCTTAGTATGGGTGCTAATTTTTGTACTAGTTTGCAATACTATCAAATGAAAGTCATCCTTTACCTTTTCAAAACAAGGGAAAAACTAGCATTTTTCTCTTCCCATATTTCCCATAGCACTGCTTACCTTGTGCATCTCTATAGCACCTTCCCTGTTTTCTTTGGGAAGGGGCAGAAGAAAGAATCTAGGAGACTTTGTAAATCACTGTGAGACTCCACTTGCATCCAAAATGGTAAAAGAAAAACTTCCAAATGTAGGTTACAAAAGGACAGGAGATTAGTAAATGGGATGCATTTTCATCACTGTTCATTGAAAATAAAACAAATGTGAGGAGATAGACGCACTGGTGAGTTCATCTTCTTTGAAGGACATCACAGATGCTGATTGTCAAGTGATAAATTTCCCAAGAGAATGATCTTTGGTAGAACTAGACTCCTCCAGTTTGCCTTATATGGAAAAGCCAATTAGGATGCAAGAGGCAAGAAAGATCTCTGAGGAAAGATGTACTAAAGAAAGAGCTGAGTGTGGTTAAGGATCCATAATCTACTATCAAGAATGAAAGTATCAAAATAGAACCTTTCTAACTTCTAAGGAGTTCATTGAATCCCAAACCACAGGGGTTTTGCATTCTCTCAAGCCCTTTCTATGAGCTTGAATTTTTGGATCACTCTATGGGCTAGCATTCAAGCTGGCCCAAACTTAGAGAAACACAACAAAAAATGGTCAAGAGTTTGTTAGGAGGGAGGGAGTACAGGCTAGTGAATCTATATACAAGAGGCAATCTATGCGCAAGTAAAAGCTATTTTTTATATGTGTTGTTTCTTGATTGTCCAACACTCTGTCCCACATAGCAATGCTGGTCTTATTGAATTTTCCTTGTAGTCTCATTGGTATATGCCGGTTTTATAATATGTTTCTTTTAGCCAACTCTTTTCTCTTGGGCTCAATTTTGGAAGCTGAACTTTGGTGGTTACTATTTGGACCTTGGAGACCTAGTTCCTTTGGGTATTTGAAATTCATTTGATGCGAATTTGAGCAACACCAATCAATGAACTCATGTTCAGTTGGCTTAGTGGGAGTAAATCACTACAAATTTACTTTATAGTGCTTTGGTATGGATCCATTTCTGGGATGATTGATTGATAATGGAGAGTGTGATAGATGGATGGTTCCATTATAATAGAGCTCTATGGATATTCCCATTCCTGTGGAGTAACCGAAGGCCCCAAGCTTTGGGTTTGTGTTGGAACATCTTTTGAGGCTTGTATTGTGTTCTGTTTGGACCATCCTCCAAAGAGGTCATCTTATTCTTTGCTCTCTCTCTCTCTCTCTCTCTGTTTGCACTTGTGAGAAATATAAGGTTTTATGTGCCAAGAATCATGTATAAGTCCCTCTGCAACTAGTAGCCATTTAATGGGGGTTAGAGCCCGGCTAGATTGTTAAACTAGCTGCTATGTATACTGCATAAAAAAGTATGAGTGATGCCCCTGTACAAATGTCTGTAAATATGTGGTGCCATTGACTTTCCCTTAGATTTCTTCCTTCAGGAGAGGATTTATTCTCTACTTGGGCAGATGATTCCTTCTTTTTTACAGCATCTAAAAGAACTATAATTGAGAAAAATTAAAAGTAGGACCTTAGCTGTTTTGTAGCTAGCAAAGTGATCCTGTATGGATAAGGGGAAGTGCCTATGAGCTCCAAAAATATTCCAGAAATTTGCTCATAGAGCTTTGCAGACCTCAGGTGTAGAACAAATTGTTGGTCTGCTCATCTACCTTGTTACATTGGCTATGGTTATACAGAAATCTCATGGTTGGTCTTTTTTTGGGTTTTTCCCCTCTTACCTAGTGAGACAATGATATATGACTATTAAAATCTTATTATTGGTCCTGTTGCTATTACATTTATCTCTATTTTCTTTTAGGTTGACATTGCAAGTTCAATTTTCCTGGTTGCATGTGTTGCAAGATCTTTCCTTCTTGGAGTTTCATATATTACATTGGAGTTTCTTTTTTATTCATCGAAAGGAATGCTTGTCGACTTTTATCTGATTCAGTACCTTGTTATTTCCTCGTGAGGTTACTCAGTGTGGTCTTTTTCTAATTATTTGATATCATAATAAATATAAGAAAACACTATTCTATGCTAATTATCTTCATATATTAGTTTTTTCTTCATTTCGTAACTTTATCCTTGAGTTATATTTTTTGCTTATCATATTCTGCAAAGCTGTAATTCAGGCTTCATTGATTTTGTGGAAAAGTTGAAGGTAGGATCTTTTCATTATTTCTTAGATGTAACTTGGAGGTACTTGTGCGTCTATGCCCTAAACACAATCAAAGTACTTTATGCTTTTAACCAATTGTTATTTTGTATGTCTTGTTCCTACCTGTTGGTTATTTTGGACTAAGTTCTTTTGACTTCATTTTTGCTAATATTCTAATTGGTTTGCGGTTGTTCACAACATTCAGCGTGTCAAGGTATACCGTCTGAATGATGATGGTAAATGGGATGACCGGGGAACTGGGCATGTTACTGTTGAGTATCTGGAGGTTTGTCCATGTTCTTGCATTTCTTTTTTATTTTTTCTGGTGTTCATACTATTGTATTTTAACTCACTGGAGGTTCTTAAAAAATTGGATATTTTATGCAGCCAAGTGTTATGCTTATTGACTGCAATATTTTGAACACAGAGATCTGAAGAACTTGGTTTGTTTGTCATTGATGAAGAAGACAATGAAACATTACTTGTTCATCGTATCAGATCAGAAGATATTTATCGAAGGCAAGAAGGTACTTGTTCTGTCAAATGAAGCATATTACTAGCAGTTTTCTTATATGTTGCTTAGGTGATAAAAAATCTTGTTTGCTTCTTAATTAATGGATACCCTTGGTAACATGGAATAATTTCTTTCCTTTTGGCAGATACAATAATCTCTTGGCGAGATCTGGAATATTCTACAGAGTTAGCTCTTAGCTTCCAAGAGGCTACAGGGTGCTCTTATATATGGTGATGTATATTTTGCTTTCCATCTTTCATTTGCAATAAAGTTTTACTTCGTTATTGTTTTATCATGATTTTTTTTTGGTTTTATGCAGGGACCACATTTGTAATGTGCAGAGGAACATACGTTTTACTACTCTTAGCAGTAAGTATTCCTTTTGTGCTATGTGAGTATTGTCTTTATGTTATTACTAAATTTTGAATCTTTAGATGCTCTAAAGATACTGAGATTGGCCCATGCTTGCCTACAGATGTATTGGAGACATCTGGAACTTCACAGGCTAATGGTAATTCTTTCCTGTGTTTGGAAACCTCATCTTATCTTTCTTTCATCTGTTTTATTTTCTTGATTGATGCATTCACTTTTTTTGTGGCTTTGACTAATTGGTTGTTCTGAGAAAGAAACTGTTTGCTGTATTCTTTCCCATATAGTATGGAGATGGTTTGGAAGATTCTCTTAATTCGTCATCATTATGCCCTTTGCCTATGTCCACATGAACCTTTTTTTTATGTGTAATAAAAAAACATTGGTGATTCTAAGGGTGTATAAAATGGAACAAAAGCAGGCATTTTTTTACAGTGTGCTGTTGCAATTATTAAATTAGGATTTCCTTCAGGCCTAATGTATTGCAATTTTTCACATAATTGAATATTTTGCTTCTTTTTTTTTGGTTTGGTGTCAAGATCAGTAGGGAGGACTGATGGCTGGGATTTGTTCAAAGCTGGATAAATTTGTGTTCAATACGGATTGGGAAGGCCATTAGGGAGGACTGATGGCTGGGATTTTGCCAAGGGTTACTTTAGATCACTGCCCAATTAGTATAGGAACAGAGATTTTTTTTGACTAGCCCCACCCCTTTCAGGTTTGGGAATATTTGACTCACTTACCCGGATTTTATTCATAGAGTGGAAGAATGGTGGAATGAGGTGAGGGGAGTTGATTGGGAAGGAGTGAGATTCCATAGAAAGATACAATGTCTAAAGAGCAAATTAAAGGAGTGGAATAGAGAACATTTTGGTAGAATTGAGGAGAGAAAGCTTAGTGTGACTTCCCAAATTGAGCAATTGGATGAGAAGGAATATCAGAACTTGATTAATGAGGAGGAAAGACGCTTGAGGTGGTCATTAAAAAAGGTGTTAGAGGAAATTTTGCTTAGGGAGGAGATATGTTGGAGGCAGAAGTCGAGATATATATGGATTAAGGAAGGGGATGGCAATACTAAATTCTTCCATTCAATTGCTAATGGCAGGAAAAGAATTTTGTGCATAAATTGGAAGTAAATAGGGAAATTTTGAGTGTGACCAAGAGGCAATTGTAAAATGTTTTGTGAATCATTTGTAGGAAGTCTATATAAGGGTGGGTTATGTTGGAGTCAATGTGGAAGGGCTATGTTGGCCAAGATTGGATCCAGAGTTGGCACGAGTATTGGAAAGGGACTTTGAATTGGAAGAGATTAAGAGGGCTGTTTTCTCAATGGATAAATCAAAAGTGCCAAGGCTGGATGGTTTTACAATGGTTTTTTGTCATGATTGTTGGGTGCTGTTGAACATTTCATTAGTCCAAGACCTATAAAAAAAGGAACATTTCATTAGTCCAAGAATCAATTCTACTTTCTTTAGCTTTGATACCTAAGAAGGGAGATGCCGTCCAGCCAAGAGACTTTAAACCTATTAGTTTGGTGACTAGTATTTATAAGATCCTGGTTAAGTGTTGTTGTTAAGATTAAAATTAGCCTTCCCAAAAAATATTTGGGGAGGGATACGTCCTTTTGTACATCTCATTTTGTAGCCAAAAAATATTTTTCCTTTTTAGACTAACATATAATTAGATCTGTATAATCTATTTTGCTGTTAATTTGGGCTTGCATGTGATTCCAGTTCCTATTAATTTTAAGAAAAATTCTTAATGGTTGTGCTCAATTATTCCTGGTTATATTTTCATATGGTTTGATGCTTTTGTTTCTTGTTTTTCTTTGAAGGTGATATTCTTAGTTTAGAAGATTATGTATTTTCTACTGAGTTCAGATAGTCAATTTCCTTTTGATTTCACTTATCTTCTATTTCCACTAGTGTCTCACTTGACTCATTTGTATCATACATGACACCGTTCTGTTTTTATGGGATATATTAGTGTTTTGATTTTCTTGTTGTTGCGAATACTTTGGTATTTCTACTTGAATTGCTGTTTTCTTATTCAGATCCTGATCTACTATTGCTTGAATCAAAGGATTTCCAATTACACAGTTTGGAGCTTTGTCTTGGCAATTTATTGTTTTTGAAAGTTGTGTTTGTTCTAGCATTACCAATCACTATTTTCTATTTCTACAGATGATACATTTCATGGTGTCAACAATGAGTTGAGGGAACTGCCAGCAGTTCAACTATCTGCACTTCCCTTAATATTGAAGGTGTATTGGACATTTCACTTTTTTCTATGATCTTCTATAACTAATCTTTTCAATTCAGGACTCTATTTAGTCAATGCTGTGCTTGTTTCTGTGTTTGTTTCAATTCTGCAGCTTATGCAATATGCAAGGTTTAAAATGTCGATGTCGATAGAAATGTCGCTTATCGGAAATGTCGAGGGGAAATATTGTAAAAATTAGAGACATTGTTGAAATATTATGAAATATGTGGAAATATGCAAAGATATTTTGTAAAATGCTAAAAGAAGCATGAATACATATTTCTAGACTATTATCTTATTCCCAACCATTATATAAAGCTAAGAAACTAAGATCAATGACAAATTAGTAAATGATGATTTACTGATTTATTATGCATTTTGATGTTTTTACAAGGTTATCTGATATTTTCTTTTCTTATTTTTAATTCTGTTTTATTATAAATTCTAATATATTTATTTCACACTAGCAAATAGAAATACATTTATTCTGATTTTTTTAAATATTAAAGTTATTATACATTATGTTTTATTATAAATTTAATAAACTGATTCTCCTTTTTTGTAGTATTAAGATTATGATAAATTCTGATTTCTTATAAAACTTAATGAATTTATTATGATTTTTAGTACTAAATTTATAATAAATT